TCTTGGGTCAGAGCCCAGGAGTGGTTTGCAGAGTCATGTAGAAGACCTATTCATAATGCTTTGAGAAATCTCCAGATCATTTTCTGAAGCGCAGTCTCATCAGCAGTGAATAAATGTTTCTTTTTCACCACATCCCACCAGCACTTACTGTTATTGTCTTTTTGACAAAGACCATTCTCACTGGTATGAAGTGGTATCTCTTTTTTGTTTTCATTTGCGTTTCTCCAGTAATCAGTGAAGATGAATATTTTTCCTATATGTCTGCTGGCCATCTTAATGTTCATCTCCTTTTCCCATTTTTTGATGGGTTTGTTACTTATTATTGAGCTTTGAGAGTGATTTACATCTCTTTGTCTCAAGTGTCATGAACGAATATTTTCTCTCAGTCAGTGGCATGTCTTTTTATACTAGGTTTCATTTCTTTCACAGTACAGAAGCTTTTTAGTCTAATGGACTTTCCATTTTTTTATTTCTGCTTTTATTTTTTTTTGCCAGTGGGGTCATATCATTGAAGATTTCTTTACATTCGAGATTTTAGAGTCTTTCTTAAGTTTTCTACAATGTATTTTATATAAACAGGAGCCCGGCAAGCTACCGAGAGTCTTCGATATGCCAGACACAGTAACAACAAAGTCTCCAATGGAGACGTTACTGGGCCTGCTCAAGCAAATATAAGATCTTTAATTTGCAATTAACCTTTGTATTCAGTTTAAGATCAGGGTATAATTTCTTTCTTTCTTTCTTTCTTTCTTTCTTTCTTTCTTTTTTTTTGCATGTGTCTATCCAGTTTTCCCAGCATGCTCTTCAAGAGCCTTCTTGCTTGCGGTCATTTTTAAACCCTTAAATTTCTCCAGCAATGTTTCCTAACTCACCTTTAATAGCATTGCTTCGTATTTATCACATTCCATTCAGCTGTGGCTAAGAATATTAGTTTGACACTTGATAAATGGATACTGTTTTATTTTCTAATATGTTTTTAAAATTAACATTGCCATATATTATGTAAATATTCATATAAAATAGAAAATCTTAAGAGAGGTCGTCACATATCTTGTTTGTTTTTCATTTCTTTGTTTTACAGTGAGGACAGGGTCATTGAACACTATTTGAAAATCAAAGGTCTGACTCGAGGTCAAGCTGTGGTTCGGTAGGTATTATTCTTTCCTTTAACTTACATGTTTCTCATTTGTTTTTGTTTGGGGGCAACATCTTTTAGTGCTCAGGAGCTACTCCTGGATAGTGCTTGGGGACTATGTGAAGCCAGGGACTGAGCATGGGTCTCTGCCACAAAGCGCACACCCTCCTCTATCCCCTTCACTGAGCTATCTCTTCGACTTGAAGTTTTGAGTTTGAAACTTCAGTTTTTAATACTGAAGATTAATTATTTTTTAGTGGAGGAAGGAATGTTTGGACTGCACCTGTTGCTACTCAGAGACTATTCTCAATGCTTGTGAGTCACTCATGGAGGAGCTGGGGGAACCATGTGGGGTGCCAGAATCAAGTCCAGGTCACCTGCAAGCAAGGCAAACACATTACCTACTGTGGTCCTCTCTCTGGTCCCTATGAAAATTTTATTGTGAGTCAAACAAAAATTGTCAGAATGCCATTTTGTTACCAGGTTTGTGATTCTACTTTGGGTGGAACACACAGTGTTGATATTGAGTAATCTGATTTTTTTTGTTGTTTGGTTGTTTTGGTTTGAGTTTTAGGGCCATACCTGGTGGTGCTCGGGGTTACTCCTATCTCTGCACTCAGGAGTTACTCATGGCCATGCTTGGGGAACCATATGGGATGCCGGGGATCGAACCCAGCAAGCACCCTACTCTCTGTACTGTCTCTTCATTCCCATTTCTACATTTTAAACGTACAGTATTTTCATCCATTTATTAAAACTAGACCACAAGTCATATTCAAGTGCTTGTGAAAACTAAATTTTTATTTTATAATGTTTTAATTATAAAAACAAATAAGGCATTATTTCTTTGGGAAATGAGTAAAATTATAACCAGAGGCTTTTTTTTTTGAGGCGGTTTTTTTTAATGTAAAGTATAGCACATAGCTTGGGAGAAATAAAAACTTGGAAATCACTAATCCTGGTCAGAACACAGATTTTCCCCACACTGCTACTTCTTTGAATAATTTTTATTATTATTACTAATTATTATCATTATAACTCACCTGTGTTCTTCAAAGTGTTGGAAATTTACAGTCATGCTTCTAAAATGGAATTCTTCATATGTCAAGTTATTATGTTAATTTACTGAACTGGGAAAAATTCCCTGATATATTCGAAGACAAGTCAGTGAGCATATTAGGAAGTATTGTTGCTTTAAATAAGAGTCCTTATTTCCCTTATTCATTATCTTTGTGGTTCAGTTAAGAGACTCTCCAAATTTATACTTAACGGCTCTAGACCAGTGTTTTTCAATCTTTTTCCAACAGTCACCCCCTTCTGACCTTGTTCCCTTCCTGTGGCTCCCTCTCTTACCTATTGGCCCCCATTTACACTGTTTTTCCCCGTTTTCCTCTTAGATTATCCTGAGAGCCCTGAGGAAGCCGTTTGGCCCCAGTAGAGAAACACTGCTCTAGACCGGGACCCAACTCATTCTGTTAGAATCCTAGCTGTAAAATTAAACTACTGCATAATACAATTTAGGCACATTATTTACCAACCTTATGTTCTCTTTATTTTTTTGAAACGAGGGCTGGAGCAATAGCACAGCAGGTAGGGCGTTTGCCTTGCACGAGGCCCACAAGGCCTACCCGAGTTCAATTCCTCCGCCCCTCTCGGAGAGCCCGGCAAGCTACCCAGAGTATCTTGCACGCACAGCGAAGCCTGGCAAGCTACCCGTGACAGATTCGATATGCCAAACACAGTAACAACAAGTCTCACGATGGAGACGTTACTGGGCCTGCTCGAGCAAATCGATGAACAACGGGAGGACAGGCTAGTAGGTACAAATTACTGATCATGAATTCCTAAAGAATTGGTTTTTTAAATGTCATTTAAAAGTCAGCTTTAGGGCCAGAGAGATAGTACAGAAGTTAGTACTTGACTTGCACACGGCTGACTCTGGTTTGATGACCGGCACTGCATGTGGTCCCCAGAGCACATTCAGGAGTGATCCCTGAGCACACAGCCAAGAATAAACCCTGAACACCGCTGAGTGTAGCCCCAAAACAAAACCCAAAAAGTCAGCTTTTAAAAAAATAAATAATTACAAGTCAGGGACTAGAGAGATTCCTTAAGTGGCGGAGCACATGCCTAACATACTCAAGACCCTAAATCTGGGGCGGGAGCAATAACACAGTGGGACATTTGCCTTGCACACGGCTGACCCGGGTTCAATTCCCAGCATCCCATATGGTCCCCTGAGCACTGCCAGGAGTAATTCCTGAGTGCAGAGCCAGGAGCAACCCCTCTGCATTGCCAGGTGTGATCCAAAAAGCAAAAGCAAAAGAAAGAGAGACCCTAAATCCTGAATACAATAAGGTATGCTCCACCACCCACCCTCATTAGCACTGCCTTTGTGGCCCTGGTGTCCTTGAGCACTTCTGGGCCCAAGCACCACAAAGAAGGGTCCCTATGAAGAAAAGGAGTGGGTTGGGGCTGTAGCTCAATGGTAGAGCATATGTAGAGTCTTTCATGTATGATGTCCTGGGTTCGAGACTTGTCACCGGAAAAAAAAAAGTCACCTTGTTTTAGATACTGACTTTAATTTCTGTGGACAAAAAGGCAGTCTTACACAATTTTCTCTACTCCATAAAGTGTTGGGGGTAGACTGTGAATTCTTACTGAAATTAAAATAGCAAATGGCAGCACAATTGCTTTAATTTTTTTTGAGGAGGCATTTTTTGTTTGTCCGAGAACCACATCGTGCAATGCTTGGGGAATCATGCTGTGCTAAGGACTGAATTCGACTTTCCCACATGCAGTTTATGTACTTAGTCCTTTGACGCATTATCCCTCTGGCCCCAGAGGAAGCATATGTTTAAAAATCAACTTTATAGACTATAGAATCTGTTTCTTTATTTTTATTTATGTATGTATATATATTTATTTATTTATTTTGGCTTTTTGGGTCACACTCTACGATGCTTAGTGCTGACTCCTCGCTCTGCACTCAGGAATCACTCCTGAAGTTGCTCGGGGGACCAAATGGGAGCTGGGAATTGAACCCGGGTCAGCCTCAAACGCCCTACCTGCTGTACTATCACTCCAGTCCCAGAATCTGTCCCTTTAAAGTGTGCATTTCTAAGAGTTTTAAGAATGAAGCATATTTTTCTAAGAGTTATAGATCAATTTGTATGTGAAAGGCTTCTTAAATACTACAAACATGACCCTAAAGTCGATTCTCATTGCTTACATAATTGCATTTAGTATTTTTAAATACTAGAAATTTTGGTTTATCCAGTGTCATATTTCTAACCCATAAAAATGATTTCCTATAGAACTTTTCTCTTTTGGTTGCTTTTGGCTTTGGACCCACACACAGGGTGCTTGAGGTGCACTGCTGTCAAGGAACATTGTGGTGTCAGGGATTGAACCTGGGTCTCTCTCAGGCACTCAGTCCACTGAGCTATCTCTCCAGCTTTTTGAAATTTGTTTTATTTGAAACTTCCCATACACTTGTTTAAGGTAAAATACATCGCATTCTACAATGGTTTATTCTTGTTCTATTTAGTCAGACATTAGTGTGATAATGAGGAACATAATATAATTTCTACTTAGTCAGACATTAGTTATGGTGATAATGAGGAAAGTCATATACTTTCCCAAGAGGGCCCTCTATTTTATAATAAAGAATTATCTATTTCTTTTCCACAGGTATATGAAAATAGTAGAAGCTCTGCCAACCTATGGAGTCCATTATTATGCAGTAAAGGTAAGTACCTTTTATGACAAGACTTTCATAATGCCCATATTATTTTTTGAGAGAAACTAAACAATGCCAACTTCCTAAAATCACATTATCAGTATGTGTAATATGTAAATTCTTATACTCATTTTGCCAGCACTTATACTGAAATTGGAATGATACAGGGAAGATTAGCATGGTCCCTGAGCAGGTTCATGAAACATGTTCATGAAGCACACAGATTCATGAAGCATTCATGAATTTTGCTTTGTTTGGTTTTAGGGCCACACCTGGCAGTGCTCAGAGCATATTCCTGGCTCTGCACTCAGGGATCACATCTGGTGGGGTGGGGACTATGTAGGGTGCCAGGGATTGAATTCGGATCAATCACATGCCAGACAAGTGCTTTGCCCTCTGTACTATCTCATCATCCCTCTATTGTCTAACAATACACATTAAAAAATTGTATCTAGAAAATTCAACTTTTAACATAGATTGTTTTTCTTTTTAAAAAAATAAAAGCTTGGGGCTGGAGTGATAGCACAGCAGGTAGGGCTTTTGTCTTGCACATGGCTGACCCGGGTTCAATTCCTAGCATCACATATGTCCCTGAGCACTGCCAGGAGTAATTCCTGAGTGCAGAGCCAGGAGTAATGCCTGTGCATTGCTGGGTGTGACCCAAAAAAAAGAAAAAAATAAATAAAAATTAAAAAATGAAAGCTTAAGTATATCTTAAGAAAAAATTAAATTTGATCAATCTTGAGTGACTTCAAGTTATGAAAATGTTTACCATTTAAAATGATGGGGAACTGAGTAATGAATGTCTGTTGAGAATACTGTACCAAAATTACATACCATTTCAATTCAAATTTCTGCTACTTCTTCATTTGTTTGCATATGGTAAAGGTCTTAGCCTAAGTTTTTCATTAAGTCAATATATCATTTGCTTTGGCAAGGCCTAAAAGACAAATTTATGGGAAAAAAATTCTTCTCCTCCCCATATGTACCTCAAAATCATTATTCAAACATCCTGTCACTGAGTCGTACGGTCTCCAAGAGAAGTTTCAGTATTGCCACGTCTATTAACCGTATAATAAATATTAGGAATTGGAACCACTTTTCTCATCTTTGTAATTCTTTGGAAACTTCCCTGACCTTTATAACTGATTGCTAATCAAAAGAACAAAGAACCTTTCTTCTTTTCTTTTCTTTTCAAATGGATAATTGACTTTGTACTCTGGATTAATTCTTAGTTGAATTATTTACATTTTATTTCTTCTCTCTAGCTGTTTAATTAAAGCAGTAATATTTTACCCTTTATCATGGTATCAATACTACTGTTTGAAGAAGCTCTAAGAAGACATTTTAATAGCACGTTAGGTTTTAAGTAATGTTTTGTTTACCAAGACAGTTTTATGTTGACTTGCTGATACTTGCTAAAGTGTGAAATTAGTAAATGTTCCTTCACCTGTAGAAGACTGAACAATTAGGTCTTGGTTCTCATGCTTTTCCATCTTCCAGGATAAACAAGGACTTCCTTGGTGGCTTGGAATCAGCTATAAGGGAATTGGACAGTATGACATACAGGATAAGGTGAAGCCTCGGAAGGTCAGTTTGAATCCTTTCAGAATCTCTGAGAACCTTGGGCTATTCTGGTGTTGGAAAAATAACTTTAAGAGCTAAGAACTTTCGGGGCTGGAGTGATAGCACAGCGGGTAGGGCGTTTCCCTTGCACAGGGCCGACCCCGGTCCAATTCCCAGCATTCCATATGGTCCCCTGAGCACCGCCAGGAGTGATTCCTGAGTGCAAAGCTTGAGTAACCCCTGTGCATCACCAGGTATGACCCCAAAAAACAAACAAACAAAAAGAGCAAAGAACTTTCATTAGTAAGACCTTGTTTAGAAGAAGAATGGAGTTAAATAACCCCTGATTTTTTAAAATTGTTATGGGGGTCACATGCAGAAGTGCACAGTTGGACTTAGGGTCTTTCACATGTAAGGCATGTTGTGGTATTAACACATGAGTCATTTCTGTGGCCTCAGTTTTTGTTGATTCTTTTATGTACCACTTACAAATAATTCTATACCTTTGCGCTTTAAGAAAATAAAGTTATGCACAAAGACTTAGCTATAAGAATATTAATCACAACATTATATAATGCATACAATCAGATTTCTGTTTTAATTTAAGAAGACCACAATGCCATTTATTCTATAAATTTTATATATGCACATATACATTTCCACTGGATGGATAAACAGGTGAGTTATAAAAACACAAGCCAAAGTTTTGGTGCTGTTTACATATAGTATAGAATAATCAGTAATCTTATGACTGCTGCTATTTTTGCTTATTGTTGCTTCAGTTTTCCATACTGAGCTTAGTGGCTTTTTATATTGAAAAATAAGTTAAGTGATTTTTATTAAATGGTGATACTGTATTGGGTTTGGGTCATCCAAAACTGTGAAGTTATATTCCTTTTCACTAGAAATTTGATTGTGAATGTATTTCTGCCTCAAGCATAAGTGCTCAGTACCTTTTGCCAACATAAGAATGGATGAGCCTGGAGCTGAAGAGAGAGTACAGCAGGCAGGGTGCTTGCCTTGCACACAGCCAACCTGGGCTGGATCCTGGGCACACCATATGGTCCCCTGAGCCTCGCCAGGAATGTTCCCTGAGCATAGAGCCAGGAGTAAGCACTGAGCACCATGGAGTGTGGCCCAAATTTTTTTTAAAAAGAAAAGTAAAGAAAAGAATTGATGAGCCAGACAGCCATCCCCCTGCCTTGTCTGCTCAGTATTATAGTGGCACAAAGGCTTACTCACAACCGGTTGGTTTTGCCACCCTCCCCGTGTTCTGCTGCCATCAGTGGGAGTGACAGCAGTGGAACAATGGCCTGTAATAACAGACCACAGTCAGGCCTCCGCAGTTATCACACCCCGACATCGAAACCTTTAATAACTCCTATCACTTGCATCTGGCTCTGGCTCTCAAGTGTATTAGAAAAATAGCCATATTCTTCATCCAGCTGCCTTGTCATCACCATATCACAGCACTCTTCGTCTTCTAAGCATCCTTTCAGCCTCAAACAATGCTCACACTCTTCCCTTGATTTGAGAGAATAAGTGAAGCTCCCCATTTCTTCTCATATTAAGGTTTTCTGACTCAGAGAACCCAAAAGGGTGCCCTAGGGCAAACCCCATGCCCGAGAAGGCTGATTAGTGCTCCTGGATCAGACTAGCTTGGCATTGAGGTTACTTATTGGATATTATCAATAAAAATAATACAGTATCAGAGCTGGAGCAATAGCACAGCAGGTAGGGCATTTGCCTTGCACATGGCCAAACTGGGTTTGATTCCCAGCATCCCATATGGTCCCCCGAGCACCGCCAAGAGTAATTCCTGAGTGCAAAGCCAGGAGTAATCCCTGTGCATCGCCGGGTGTGATCCAAAAAGCAAAATAAATAAATAAAAATAATACAGTATCATTAAAAAGTATCATATGCAGGACAATAAGAGAGCATGCATGTATGTAAACAATGACAATTTTTTTTTTATCAAAAAAGCCTGTGGTCCGGGTCAATTGAAGTAACAAATGCAATTTTCAAGAAGAATATGAGTAAAATTATTTGTGATTGAAATTTTGCTTCTCAAGCCAAATACCTAATAAATAATGTTTGAAATGATGAACAGAAGATTTTTTTTTTTTGGTCTTAGTTGCAGTTTATTCCAATCCTCTCTCCATCCACTCCTGTCTCTCTCCTCTGCCTCCCCCTCCCGCATGTTACTTCATTCTTTTTCTGCAGGAGGGTCCCCCTTGAACAGAAGATTTTTTAATTTCTGAAATTATTTTTATTTGTAGTTACAGAACTATTTTTTTCTTTTTGGGTCACACCCGGCGTTGCACAGGGGTTACTCCTGGCTTTGCACTCAGGAATTACTCCTGGTGTGCTCGGGGGACCATATGGGATGCTGGGAATCGAACCTGGTTTGGCTATGTGTAAGGCAAACGCCCTGCCCGCTGTTCTATCACTGCAGGCCCATTACAGATTTTTTTTTAACAAAACAAAAAAAGGAAACATTAGGCTTAGTTTTTCTGCAATCCCCGTTCCCTCTCCTGTGGTGACCTCTAAAAAGAACAACAGTGATTTGTTTAGATTTTATGTGTATACTGAATCGTACTGTCACAGTAATCGACATGGTGTTATATTTCTCCAGTTCATTTATAAGCAGATCCCTTGAGACTGGGGATATAGTACAGGAATCAGGAATGCTGCTGACATTGGTTCAGTCCCTCACATATGGTCCCCCTAAACATCACGAGGCATGATTCCTGAGCATAGAGCCAGGAGTAAGATTTAAGCAATGCTGAATTTGACAACCCCTCGCCCCACAAAATGAAAACGGATGATTTTTACTGTTTTAAAAGTTGTCACGTGTTCATTGCATGGAAGTACATCACTTATTTAACCAAATTTCTCTTCTTTAAAAAAGTGAAGTAAGGGCCATAGAGATAGTACAGGGAATACGGCATTGCCTTGTACACAGCCAACCGAAATTGGATCCCCCTCATCTCATGTGGTCCCTGAGCACCACCAGACTGAATACAGAGCCAGGAGTAACACCTGAGCAATGCTGGGTGTAGCGCCCAAATGAACAAAAATGAATAAATAAAATAAAAATTAAATAGTGAAGTAAAATAGTTTTATTTTAAAAAATGTACTCTGAGGAATTTGAGTGGTGAGAAATACAGAGATATTCTCAAAAGAAAATAAGGGCTTCATCAGAGGGAGATATGTCAAGAGGACACATCTGAAGTTCATCTACAGAGTAGAGAATTAGCGTTAAAATAAATAAAAGAAATTACACATTTCAGGTCAAGATGTGGGCCAGTTTTCAAGGAGGAGAAAAAGCCTAGTCAAATCTCTTAGGAAGTCTCAATTCTTATTATGGTTTCTCCTGCAGAGAGGAAGAAAGCAGGGGAAGGATAGACAGAATGAATCCCATCCAAAGCAAATAACAAATCCCTAGTTTATTTAATAAGACCTTTTTTTTTTTTGGTTTTTGGGTCACACTTGGAGATGCTCAGGGTTACTCCTGGCTCTGCACTCAGGAATTACTCCTGGCGGCGCTCAGACGACCATATGGGATGCCGCGGATCAAACCCAGGTTACCACGTGCAAGGCAAATGCCATCCCCACTGTACTATCACTCTGGCCCAGTAAGACCCAATTACTCTTTATAAT